GAGAGAGAGAGAGAGAGAGAGAGATGCAGAGAGAGATGCTCACTTCGGATCGGATTTCGAGTCGCGCTTCGATTGTTTCACGCGCGGAATAGGAAAAGCCGCCAGAATCCGGTGACGCGATAGTTGAAAAACAGCAAGGCGGCAAGAGAGAGAGGGACACGAGGGGGAGCAGAAAAAGGGGGGCAAAAGGTAACGGGGTTAAGCACCCTACCTGTGGATCGTGACGCTCCGGGGCTCCGGGGAAGCCGCCGCGCGACCGCGACAGTCGGCCAGGGGCGTGGGGGCCTTGAAGAGGTCGCCGAACGACAGGTGATGACTGTAATCACGGCAGGCCCAGGTGTATCCTCCGCGTGTTTCGTCGCCGCCCTCCTTCGCAACCGAACGTTGTCGTCTACCGGCACTGCTGCCCCCTCCCCCGCCAACACCTCCGCCACCGCCGTTGTCGGTCGTAGCACCACCGCCGCCGCCGCCGCCACCCTCGGAGAGATGACGGGTCAAGGGTCGCCGCATGTCTCATTCAGATCACGCGACTGACTGAACTCAGCCGCCGACGCTGCGACCGGCTCGGCTCCACGCGCGACCAGCGCGAAGTCTGCCGTCGGTCGCCGCCGCCGCGATTCGCGCCGCCCGGGCGTCGCGTCGTATCACGTCGCGGCTCGCGGCGGAACGTCCAACGACCGCCCGTGTTCGCTTTGCGTACGCGCGCTCGCGTATACGCGCACGCGCGAACCTCGATTCCCGCGAGAGCGTTGCAAGTGGAGCGCGTTCGCGATGTGCCTCTATCCGCGATATCGAAGAGGGAGGGGGGGGGAAACTGTGGCGATCGCGATACCGAACGTCGAGAAAAGGAAAGAAGCTACGTGTGCGTACGTGTATGACCGACCATCTCCGCTCAACGGCCCACTTTGGCTACACTCGGCTAACGTCCGACTGTCGTCCCCCCCCCTCCCTCCGCCACCACTGCGTCGTGATGGCACGCGCCTATCTTCGCAGATAAGGCAGGTCGCGCGACGCGCCACGCAGTGGGTCGGTTTGAAATAATAATTCGTGATTGATGATTCAGAAATGATTTCAGCTAATTTCTAGCTAATTTTATAAAGCAAGCTATATGCATGAATCAGAAATCTATTTACAAATATCTCTGTTTATCGCGTCGTTAATTATTTGCTAAATATTTCTTATTAAATTTATTAATAGAAATTCTCTGTTTTATAAAGTAGTTGATTAATTATCACTTTTTTTGGAGTTTTTTAAAAATTATGATTTGTAAGAATTATTTAGAGAATATAATATGTGCATTGCAACTTTTTGTAAAAATAATATTTCTGAGACATAGATTAGCAATATTTCAATCAAATTGTAATAAATTTCGCATAATTATTTCCCTCTTTACCATCCATGACTTATTCTAATTACAATGTTTGCCTAGAGGGCGTTACTGCATAAGAAATTTCTCAAGCTATAAAATTTTTTGCGAAACCCGCAATCTTTTATTATTTCATTTCAGCATTTCTGTCATATAAATAAATTATATAGAAATAGATTTGTGATCTTTAAGCGCAACTTGAATTTTGAGATTTATATTTAATTCATGTTTAATTGAAAATTCATTATTAAATACGGTACATTGCGTCGGTAAAAACGCCACTATGCGACAGTTTCATCAGACAAACTTCGTGCGATCGTACTATTCATATGGCGTATTCACCATAATTAATTAAAGATTAACTAAAGAGCGGTTAATTTAAACTTATGATAATAATTAAAATAACATAGAAAGAAATTAAAATTAATGCGGAATAACTGTTAATAAATTATATTTTAATTTCTATTTAATAATTTATAATTCATAAATATATGACTGTTTCATACTCGAACGCACATTTAACGAAACAAGCTGCTAAAAAACGTTGAAGGAGAAAAACAACGGACGCAGGCCGGGGCAGATTAAAGCAAATATTTAATTTATTTGTGAATCTGCGCAATCATAAAATATATTCATGTAACGATCAACGAGATATAACATCGATAGAGCTCGGCGCTGAACGTGACGAGACAATCAACATGGTGTGGGGAGTGGATTCGGACGTAATTCGCGAACAACCTTAAAGGAAGTCGCGTGACTTCCTCGCGGTCTCTTTCGAGGGCACACCTTGTTAACCGGGTCTCATCATTTTTTCTCCTGTTCGTGACAAGAAGCACGATGCTTCGCGGGAGGGGGAGGGGGAAGAGAGGGAGGGAGAAAAAAAACGATACGTCGCTCTCTCGTCGTTTGTACATGTAATATATAAAAATAGAATTCACGGTGCGCAATGGGATACGCTGACGTCATCGGTCAGCAGCGGGGAAGAAGGGAGGACGAGAGGAGAAAAAAATCAAGAGGGAAGGGATCGAAATCAAACTCGACGACTTCGCGGCAACGTCGCGACGCCGCGGTTTTTTTTTGTAACATTCGTAATCCGACTACGAGTCACACGCATCGTTGTGACAGAATAGCGCGCGAATCATGGACGCGCGTTCGTCCGGAATGAGCGAGCCCATCTCTCTCTAAAGCGACGAGTCGATCTCGTCGGGGCTCGCGCTACGTAAGGATCGATCGACGGATTGATCGACGGCTAAACGCGGCTGAATTCCGCGACTAACGTCGTCATCGTCACCTTTAAATCCGCCGGGATGTGTGACGAATCGTCCACGAGATTGTCTCCCCCGCGATCGAATCCTTCGCGATTCAATTCGAATCGCTACGTGTTTTTCCCACGTTTTTCACGTTTCGATCCATATGCACGAAGTTAGTCGCGGGACGCGCGCGCGCGCGCGCGCGCGCGTCGTTTTAACTCTGCGTGTGCGACCGAGGCCGCGCCAACCCCTTCGCGGAAGGGAAGCGAACCGATTGATGTAATGACCGCTACATTAATTGCGCACGTCCGCGTAATTCCCGTGGGTAAGGCAAGTTAATATTCTCACGCGAAACGGGAAAAACCGAACGGAATAATAACGCGGCTCTAACTCAATTGATGGTTCTAAATCAATTGATTAAGGGGATTAGTTAATTAAATTGAGATGCGGTCAAAAGCGAACGTGTCTTATAGAAAGGAAGAAAAAAGAAAAATCATAAATTCCCCGTGTAAGGAAATGCAACGGGGAGGGGAATGGCGTCCTTTCGCGCCAGGGTGGCGATGTAACGCGGGCGCGACCCAGATTACATCTTAACGACATCTCTACGCGGCGAATCGCAACTCGGCGATTCGTCTTCGCGTAACGCACTATGATCGAGCTACGACATTGGCCGTGTCCCTACGTTAACGACTCGGCCTGCATAAATATATATTCATATGTATATATATTTTTTTTGTTAACTGTATATAACTCGCGACGCGAAAGAGGGACGAAACAGGATCGCCGTTTTCGCGCTACGCGCGTCTCCGCTGTGTTGTAATATTAATTATTTAATCTGTGATTGTTAAGGTATACGATTCTATCGACTCTCTCTCTTTCTCTCTCTTCCTTTTTAACTCTCCGTTTCTCGCTTCCTATTTCAGCGCGGTCCATGCTCGACGAGGTGGGCCTTAGCAGCCGACCTGGTGCAGCATCGACGCGAGCCGGAAGACGCGCATCCAGGCGAACATGCCGGTGGACGGCGAACGGCAGACGGGCGCCCGCGTCGACGACGACGTCGACGAGGCCTTGCGTTGCTCCTGCGTCGCGGACGGCGACGTCCGGCTGAGGGTGGCGTCCATGGACGCGGCGTCGCTGCTCTCCGACTTTCGCTGCTTCTGTTGCTGCTGCTGCTGCTGCGGCGAATACTTCATATCTGCGGTCATGCGAGAGGGAAAGTGAATACCGCGAGAGGAGGAATTACTCTCTGCTTTGTCGGAAGTAGAAGCGGAGAACGAGCGGTGATTACCACTAGAGCCATCGTTAACTACTATTGTCACTCTACCTGTGTACTTTAATTTTAACTAGAAGTAACAAACGATCACATTTCTTATATTTTTTTTTTTTTTAATTATCTTTTATCTCTCTGTATTAAAACTACAATTTTGGAATCTTTTTCCAACATTTATCGATTACTCTCTGCTTGGTATTTCTTGTTGGAAGGAGAAATTTATTGTTTTAGCTAATTTTTATACTTGGTGTTGCAATGGATGTATCGTTGTTGTTTTTCAAACAGGACAATTTCCGAAAGCCATCAGTACACAGGCAATGAGATCATTTCCGTTATAGACTTGTTCAAAAAACAAAATAAGTTATAGAAGGATAGTTACGAAAATGTCTACATTCCTTTCTGCTGATAATCCGCGTAAAAACATTAGTCTAAAGTGAGTCCACTTGAATGTCAGCGACATGATTTCGGTGCGGGCAATTATTCCGGCGATAAATCTCCGTAATTGCAATTATTCCGCGATGAACCTCGACCGGAGACATGCGGATCCCTTTACGCAACAACCTTGACTATGTTTATCCGCGCTCATTCGGTCACGGTCGTTTCTGCGTTACGCTCGCGTTACGAAGGAAAAAAATAATTAAACAATTTCACATATCGTAAAATAGAAAAATGCATGTAAAATATACTCTCAAAAATATGTCATAATCTCAGCGATTTCTTTTGCCGTTTCAAATTTTACTTTGTCTACCTCGTGAAATTCTCACGATATTCCCATCAAATTTCCCATATCTCACGTACCTCACGCATGAGGAAACAAAAGCGACGAGTTTC